CGACGTATTATCTGCGTGTCGTATGAGACAAGACTAAAAGAGAGCACGATATACAGCGTAATACGTGCGGATACCGTAAAAAAAAGTTGAATGTATTTAATATATATTTAATAATATAAACTGATTTAAAACGTCTATATACTTAAGTTTAATAAAAAATAACAGTTAAATTTTAATCATGACTATAACATCGCAATATTTTCGAGAAAAAATATTACATACATAATGTATGTAAACGGAAAAAGGAAACAAAAACTATATTAATATTTTTTAATAAACAACGAACTCTGTTACTGCCAGGATACAAACAGAACTTGACATTTAGAATTTGAACATCTGTTTGAGAAATAGAGGTTTTTTTTAATAGATTCTTCAAAAAGAAACTTAGTATAATGTAAAGTAAAAAAAAGCAATAGAATAATGAAAATATATATTCTCCAATTCCCCATACTTACGAAATAAAATTGAAACATATTATTTTAAAATTATTTTCAGAAAAAATAAATTATGAAAATTGATATATTTGTAAGGACTTCAAATATACCAATACTAATGGATTTCTAAAGTGGATACACAAAGTACTTTTCTTAGTGCTTCTTCTGTGAGTGAAACAGTCAGGCGAGGACTAAGCAGTATAAAATTAAAATTTAACCTAACAGAAATATTCTTTTGACAAAAGAATTTAAGAATTTGGTCGATCAGAAAAAGAATGTATTTACCATCTTTACATAATTTGGAGCTATGAAGAATTTTGTAAAAATAATAAATAAAACTGGAACAAGATTTAAATATTTAAAAAAGATATTTTCAAAATTGTTAGAAACACAAGAAATTTCAGAATCGTAGATAAGAAAATTAATGCAAAACTCAAGTCTTTGATAGAGTATTAAATTCAGAAGAAAAAGTGTAAGTGGCATTTAAAAATACATGCAAAAAATTTTTAAGTATACAAAATTCTGAACTATAAAAAGTAGTAGAAAAATATGAGGAGCTATCATATAAAATGTCACTAAAAATATAGCTTTGCACTTGGACTTTTTTCTATAAAATTTTGGCGATAAAGTAAAACATTTCATCAAATACTACCGATAAAAAAAACATTATATAAGAAAAAGTAATGTACAAATGAAAAAACAGAAGAATAATATGGGATAATCCAAAAGATACAATGGAGAATATAATTGAAAAAAATTGAATATAATTCAAAAAAATACAAGACGTAGAAAAAAATTAAAATCTTTTTCAAATGATGCAAATGAATTATAATGTTTATTAATTATTTAAAAACAAATAAATTAATAAGAATCACCGAAAGCTAATTTTATTAAGCTTGCTTCTCCATTTATATAAACTATTAGAGAGTGATATACAGAAATTTAAAATGCGAACATTGATGTTAACAGATAATATTTTAACACTACACACACATTCTCTGTTTATATTCTCAGTTTCAGACATATCACCATTCCTTCACCATCAACATACAAGAATATCTCCTTTCATCCATACTTTCATTTTCACATACATTTGACAATAATATATAAACATACATTAAAGAAATAGTCTTATTAATGACTTTGTTATCTTCATTTATCTTAATGTTATTAAAATCCTTTCTTTGCATACACTTTCACATGTATTTTGTATACTGGATTCCACTATTTCTACAAGTTTTTGTAAATATTCTAGAATGATTGGAATTTAGCATCTTTTGCTAATTCTTTTACAGAAACAAAAATTCTGCAATCAATATCTTTTTGTATAAAAGAATATCCAGAATTTTCTTTTTTTTTTCTTGTCCTTCTTCTGCTTTAAATTTAATTATATAGAATTAGCATGTCTTTATTGTTACTCAACATTTTTAAAATTGATGCAAAAGTTGCTATATGCTTGGTGAATCTCATGCTCTACGCATACATTGCCTTAATAATTCAAATGTCCTTAATAATTCAATAACAGCTTAAGAAGATGTGTAACATGTGTAAATAATGTTTTAAATGCTCAATACAATTTCAATATTAGAATTACAAAAATATAAGGTATTCTGTAGCACGTAGGAAAATAAGCAGGGATGAATTCAGCACATTAAAATAAGCAAAAATGTTCATATAAACACACGTTCTGCCTGTTTTTGTTTCAGAGTTTGTTTTGTTTTGTAACAATCAATTCTATCTGTAGGTTAATCCAACAGAGTTGAATATTGTCTGCATATCTGGAATCATTAGAGTAAGCAGATTTTTAATTATTAAGTGTTGTATTATGAATGGAACAGAATACAAATTAGGTTCAGTCAAGGAAAATATTCAAAACAATATTCACTATTACTATAATTATCGTGTATTAATACTAAAAATGAATTATTCCAACATTGAAATGGCTAATATATCTTATGTATGGATTAACAGAATGCAATACTGTTAAAGCAAGACTTCTGTATGCAAAATGATTTCTGAATCATTTGGCTCGACAGGAAAACGTTTCAAAGAGCAAAATGTCTTTAACAAACTGGTACTTTTAAGAAATGCAATAAACAATAATAATATTATTATTAGTACTAGAGATATTAGATGGAAATAAGTTTCAAATATTTTTCTAATTCTGTAGTATCAAAGAAATAAAAAAAACAAATAAGCATAGAACAATGGTACAGAAAATTTTACATAGCAGTAACTTCACTCTTACCACAGAGAGTGCAAGGTTTATCAGAAAGTGACGCATTATGAGTTCTATACAGGTGATTGAATACAATGTGTCGATGAGTAGTATTTTCTATACATAGTATTGTTTATAAATAAGATTGGTTTTACAAGAAATAGCGCAATTAATTTTCGTAATACATATTACTGAGATGAGAAAAATCTTCATGATATCATTCAAATCAAACATCAGAAACAATTTAATAACAATGTATGAGCTGGTATTATTTATGATCATTTGATAGAATTATTCTTTTTACCTTCACGATTAAGAGCTGCTTGTTGTAATTTTTTGAAAAAAAAAATTTTTATTTTTTTTTTATTTAATTTTTGAAAAAAAAAAAAAAAAAA